GTGGTGCGGACGGGCGGGGGGAGGGAGCTGGAACCAGTTCTAAACAGCACGGTAGATTTGTGGAACCTCTTCTATAGAAGAGGTTAGAACTGGCAGGAACTCACCCGAGTGGCTCCCAGTATATTTCTGGGTGCAGTTCAAAGTGCTGTTGGTCACCTACAATACCTTCATAGTACAAGACTGGACTACTTGCAGGACTGCCTATCTATACTTATTTCTGTCAATTCCATGAGATCTGACTGGTAGGCATGTTTTGAGTTTATGCAATTAAACAATAACATCTACTATCTAGGCGGCTTGATTTCTGTTGCTGTGGCTGCCTGTGGAACAATTTACCCCTCCTTATCCCAAAATTCAAAAGGCCTGAATCCCAATGGCCAGTAAAAGCTTAGCTTTTTTCCTGGACACTTAGCCAAGAAGCTAGGTGAATCCCATTTTAGGGGTTCATTGCAGGGAATATGTGTGCTATCTGTGCGTGTGATGTATTCCAAGTTTTATGTTTTTAACTAATCATATGCCAAGAAGGGGAGAACAATAGATTGCTTTTTTTTTAATGTATGTTTAGAGTTTGGGTGAAAATTACATTAGTCTCTTCATTTTTAACTCAATTAGCCACTAACTGCTCTGTCACTGTTGGCTTTGGCAGCACACAGTCCTACTAACTAGCTCAAAAAAATCACAATTTGGGGGAATTTAGAATCTCTCTCCACTTTCTCCAAGAAATGCCATATATTGCATCTGTCAAGCACCAGAGATTTCGGGAGATCCAGGCAATTCAAATGTGTATAAAGATTTATTGTAAACATAAGCTCTCTACAAGAATCTGAACTACTAACCATCAAGGGAAATTAGGAGTTAAAAATAGAAAGGAATTCAAGGTTGGCCTAAGATATCTTGTGGGCGTGAGGGACTCATGACCGATGATGCATTTGACCCCTCCCTCAGGCTCAGCCTGGTCATCTCCTACAGCATCTGCCCCATTACCATTCCAACAAGGTCCCATGACACTACTAACCCTTATTTCCTTTTTCACCCAATCAGAATGTGGAAGCTATGTTCTAGAATAGACCTGTCCAACCAGCAGCCCAAGTGGCTTTGGATAACTGATCATGAAGCGCCCCCCTCCCAATTATAACCTTTTAATATTATGTGATTTATATACTGTACATTAGCTACATCGTACATATTTTATATATGTCCCAGGACAATTCCTCTTCACTCAATGTAGCCCAGACAAGCCAAATGTTCTAAATTGCATGGCTAAACTTAGTAGGCAATTTTATAATGGAGTGGCTTCTACCACTCCTTATGTCAAATTCTCTTTTCCTTGGATACTTACACAAAAAGGGTCAAAATGTGGGATTTAGATGTTTTCTAATACATGCTGACTTGGTGGAATTAGTTGGGTCTGTTCTGAGGCAAATTTAACTCTAGGGGAGAGGGGCAGGGTAATTGAGTCTTCTCTGTTCCGCTACATTAACTCTCTCCCTGAACCAGTTAAGCATGCAGTGAGAACAGAATCATTGAATAATATGTTATTCTACCTTAATTCTCTGAATTGTATAGCGGTCTTTAAAAAATGACTAAAATCAGAAAGACTGAAATAGAACTTCTGCCAAAAGTGTTAGAGACTGTCTTGGTTCAAAACAAAATGTCTGGGTGTGCTCATTCATTTTTTTAAAATTCTGCCTAACAAAATCTATACTTATACAACATAGTGTAATAATTATGATTTTTATCTGACCCCCGTTTCTCTTTGCCTGCTTTGTGAAGGGTTTCCCCCCCCCCCTCCTTCCCAGCTCCAATGAGCTTACTCACTGGACTCTTTTGAAGAATTCTCCTTCTTCATTAAAAAAATATTCTTAATTATGTTTTATCTGTCTGCAAACTTTGCTGTTTTCCAAAGCTTGCTGGTGCTCTCAGCAAGCTTGCATTTAGCTGGCGATGTTATTTTGGCTAAATAAAACATTAAGTGCTGATACTTGAGTACTGGAAATAAAGGGAACAATGTTATTTATAGATGCCATTTACACTATCATTTTCTCATATCTCCAGTAAGAGTATTCCTGGCTTAAAAGTGCATCAAACTAAACTACCCTCTGCTTAATATTATAGATTTTTCTATTTTGAGGTATACCTTTCTAATTATTGGTAGTAATTAGGCCTATTTTTGCTCTAAAGGTTACTGATATAGTCCATGCTAGTCCATATTATTTTATGGTTCCCAACTTTTTCACCTTTTGCAGCCTGGCCTGGCCAGGGGAGGCATGGGAGTGGCAGGTGCACACAGGCACACATGGCTCCATTGGTGGGAGGTGGGTGCGCATGTGTTCCATTCAAGCAAATGGAGCTTCACGCGTGAGCAGAGGGTGCTTGTGCTCACACGCAAACCTCCACTCGTGTGAACAGTGATTGCTTGCGTGCAAAGCTCCACTTGTCTGAATGGAGCTTCCCCCTCCGCTCACACGAGTGCACGTGAACACAAGCATCCTTTGCTCAAGAGCACTCCGCTTGTGAGCGCAAAAGCCCACCACTTGTGCAAGTGGAGCTTTGCACGCATGCGCTTGCTGCCACTGAGCTTCAGGTAGTGGGCCGTCGCCTGGGGAGTTGGGGAACCTATGCAATAGAAGGTCTGTAGCTTCTGTTTAGGCAGCTTTTCTCAATAGGAAAAGGCTTGGTATTTTAGATTCAGTTATTCTTCCTAATCCAAGAGTTTCCTAAATATTCTAGACTTAGGAACTTCATGTTTCTCACAAGGTCTATTAACTTAGCTCCCTCCTTGTTCATAGGCAAAAAAAAAATTCAGATCCAAACTTTCAGCCCTCTAACAGACATGAATTCCCCACTCTTTTTTTATGGAGATGATCATTTCAAGAGTTTCGAATGGCCTCAGATACTCACTTAATATTTTTGTGCAAGGAAAATCACCTTGGATTATATTTCCAGAAGTCTAAAGTACAAGCAAGTTCTCAACTTAAAACTGGTTGTTTAGTGACTATTAGAAATTACAATGGACCTCAAGTTACTTACAACCTGCTTTTTACAGCTCCTACCCTCTCCCCAGATCACATGATCAAATTTTGGGCACTTGGCAACTGGCAACATTTGCAGTGTCCCATGATCACGTGATTGCAACTTGCAATATATTTTTTGCTGGAAACTGGTGCTTACTTCCGGTTTCCAGCAAAAAATGCCCATTGGGTATAATGGGTTCTCTTAACCACCACAGTTTTCATTTAATAACCATCATGACATATAACCTTAATTCTAGGCTCAATTATGCTTTTAAGTCAAAAACTATCTAAAATGATCTTTCCTAAAACATTTAGGAAGCTTCACTGAGTAACAGACAGTAGCAAGTGAGGAGTTTTAAATATCCAGATGTAATCCTTCAAGACTCAAGACTGTATCATAGGATACAGGTATCAAATTTGTATTCTTATGGCGTCACAGAGATTCTTCAGCTCTTCTATTTATTTTTTAACACGAGAACTCATCTTTACAGTTTTAGAACGCATGGCTCAGTTGCTTATAAATCTCCATTTCAAATTACCAGTATATGCTGATTTTTGAGGAAATAATACAAACTAAGTCTATTACAGCAGTGCTTCAAGCTCTAAAATGTGTATTTAATGAAATTTTAAGGCTAAAAGCTGGCCAGATGAGGAAATAGCTTTATTATTCATTTTTGATTCCATTACTGTTAGCAATAAATTCCAGTTGTTTTGGATTCTAGTGATTTTTAGAACATTTCTCAATTACCGAATTTCCTCAAATTTTTGGTGGCTGGGAGTTATCAAACATACTAGAATGAGAGAGGGCTCATTCAAAATTTATCCCATTAGACATCCACCCTAGATGGATGTCAGCTAATTATGCTGACTCATGATCTTCCCCCATTTCAACAAGGGATTTTCTTCAGAGCAAGGTCAATAGCCTTTAGCATTTTTATATGGGAGAGTTAATAAAAGTTCCTATAGCTAATCAGACTTGCCAGTGGGTTGCTAACTGGTTTATTACCAGTTCGCTCGTGATCGCATGGGCGCAACGCTTCTGCGCATGTGCATAAATGTCCAAGCGGGTGGCCGGAGCTTCCCACTGCCGCCACTACCAGTTCAACTGAACCAGGCCGAACTGGGAGCAACCCACCTGAGACTTGCCCTTGTGGTGATGGCTCATGTTAATAAGATGATACATTCATGTTAACAAGAAGATTCCATTTTCCTTTGTTGTTACATGCCCGAAATCAGTCTGAAGAATCTTATATTATTTCCCTTCTATTAGATAAGAAAAGCCTTACTATAAATAATATAACAAAGTTTTATACAGCAACTGTACAAACAGCTGACTTCTGATCTATATGAGCAATATGATCATACTGGCTCCATTAATCCTTGGAAATGTATAAATGAATTTCAACAATTTAGATCGTTAGATTTTAAAATATAATTTAGAACTATATGGTTCATTTACTGCATTACTGTACAGATTGAATACCTAGATTTAGATTTTACTTAAAATTCATTTTATAGTATTTTTTATCTTATTTTATAGTTCATTTTATTTTATCTAATGTTAATGTTTAAGTGTTAGGAAGAGTCCAGTGCTGCATTATTTCAGCAGTGTTGCAAAAACACTGCTTAATTGGGAGTCCTCACCCCACCAATCAAGACAGATTAATTTTTGATTCCCAGCCACAGTATTTAGAGAAAGAGGAAGTGCATCAGTAAGGACCACAATCCTAGATTAGGTTGGGCTGAATTATAGTTACTCTACTTACTGCTATTCTTGCTAAAGACTGAGTACACGTAACTGTTGCTCAGTTTGGCATACAAGGCTGCTTGTCCCAGCTGAATGCTAGAATATATGGCATTAGCTGACAGTTCATGAGGATGTAAAGTGGAAACAAGTTTAAGTTGATTTGAAGCATACATTAAGAAACCCCAAATCCTTATTACTCATTTAAAATAAGAACAACAAAATTTTAAAAGCTGCAATATACCATTATCAGAATCTGGTGTGAGATATACAATCATGTCCAAAGGAAATAGGTCAAGATAACTTTCAGCAGTAATATCCATCTGAAAAAGAATGCAACACACATAAATAGAATTTCAAAAAAATCCTTTTAGAAAGACCACTTGTGCAGGAATGAGAGTGCAATTTTGGAAAAACATGCCACTCTGACTATCCATTACTATTCTACTGAAAAGCACATTTTGAATCAAAACAGCATTTTAGCCCAATTTAAACCTAATATTTCACTACACTATTGATGATACCATGTTTTCCCGAAAAAACAACCTGTCCTGAAACTAAAGCCTTGCCACATATTTCAGGTGGGCAAAAATATTAGCTCTGGGAGTATGCTCTATGGTTGTGGACTGCAGAGTGTACAACCATAGAACGTACTCCCAGAGTGGCATCCGTCCTCCGTTGCGGCTTCCAAAGCACAGAGGTAGGATACCGCTCTGGGAGTACGATCTATGGTTGTACTCTACCATAGAGCGTACTCCCAGAACAGCATCCGTCCTCTGTGCTTTGAAAGCCACACACACACACACAAAAAAGCGGTGGGCGGCGCCAGCAGCGGAGTAGCCCTGGCTCTGCAGGTACTGTAGAGTTAGCCAAGGGCATTGTGAGCCTGCAAGTCATACAAGTGGGGAGTGGAAAAGCCACTCGATCAACCCCACTCTCCAGCCATGCAGAGCCCCATTCACTCACATAGGGGCATTCCGAAGGTGCTGAGCCGCGGGAGGCGGAAAGCGGTGAACAGGAGCTCACGTTGCTTGGTGCCTTCCGGGTAACACTCGGTCGGTCAGCGGCACTGTGCCCGGCTAGAAAGGGGGGTTGCCGGGTGGCTGCTCGCGAGAGTGGTCACCTCATGGCTGCTGTGTTGCTGCTGCGACAGCGCAACACAGCCATTCGACCCTGAGGCTGTGCCCGACTCTTCGGGAGCCCGGTCGCAAGGCAGCAGCCGCCCGGCAACCAAAAACAATAAGCCCTCCCCTTTAATAAGCCCAAGGTCATATTTCGTGGGTCAAAAAAAATATAAGACCCTGTCGTATTTTTGGGGAAACACGGTATTAAACTACAGGACTTCTTAAAAGCAACTATTCTGTGTCTAGTCGTGTTGGGACTGCAACTCTGGAAGGTACCAAGTTAACTATACAGAGAATATTATGGGAAAGGAAGGCAAAGCTACCAATTCTGTCTGTTGGATAAGAGCAACTTGAGGAAGAACTACTGTATTTTTCCAATTGTAAGACGCACCAAAGTATAAGGCGCACCAAGGTTTTGAAGAAAACGGGCCCGTTTTTTATCAAAAAAAAAATTGCATGCATAGCCTTATGGAGGCTTATAGAACGCTGGGGACTGGGGGTGTGGGGGGGGAAACAGCCCATTTGTTGCTCATTTCTGCTCTCCCCAGCCCCCAGGAGTTCTCTGAAAACCTCCATAAGGCTAGGCACGGCCATTTTTGTAAAGGGTCGGGGCTTCAGGAGGCAAAAAAATGCTGTATTCGATGTATAAGACGCACCCAGATTTTCAGCCTCTTTTTTGAGGAAAAAAGGTGCGTCTTATACTCTGAAAAAAAACGGTAATTTCCTTCAGTGTCATCACTTGGAGAAAGCTAAAGCAGAGGGAAAGAGGGGAGATATACTTACCATATAATTGGCAAATCCATCATTCATTCTCAGGCATGCTTCGTAAATAGGACTGTTTTTCACAATTCCTGTGAGGTGGAGCCAAAAGGGCTTCTGAGCTTTCTTGTTAGACCCATAAAGTCGCCTAATTTGTGCAGCAAGCCGACATATTTCCTTTGAAGAAGAGGAAAAAGCCTCAGTGGTTGGTTGTTGGTTTTTTTCTTTTTTTCTTTTTTTTTGTTCTAGATGTTCTTCAAAAAGCTTCAGTATTATTCAGAGCTTTTTGTTCTTTTTAATGAAATATACCAATCAAAATATAATGCACAAAATAAAATATTACTGTAGGACAATAAAGAAGTAAATGATGCATAATGTTAATTAATGTGAACAAAGAGATTCATATAGAACTAGGTTAATTCTTTAGCATATTCTTGAAGTTTAATCATATAGAAACATATTGCCTCATGTTCTCATTTTGTATACAGTAAAGACAATTCATACTAAGGAACATGTCCGAAATTTGTTCTTTAAGAACAGGACTCTATACTGCCTTTCAGCAATGTAGAAAATTCTCTGTCAAACTCTGACTTTGAGTTCTCTTCTTTATTGTTTTATCTCTATTTATGCACTGTCTTATGTTTTTTGTGTTGCACCCCCCTTCCCATGTATTGTAAGCCACCCTGAGTCCCCTCAGGGAAAAGGGCGGCCTATAAATCATAAATAAAATATTAGAAAAAATATATTAAAATGTTGAATTCCATATGAGAATGTGAAAGTACAGCTCAACATCACATTTGCATTTTTAATTAATTTCTCCAATTTATATTAACCTATTTAACGAGGAGGTCAAACATGAGTCATGGTGGGATAGGACCAAATCATACAAATCCAAGAATCCTATTTGCAGTTTATTTCAGGCTGATATAACTATTCTAAATTTTCTCCTGAGCAATAGCTGCTTAGAGAGCCAATTTAGAGTACTGTTTAAGGTACCCAGCTATAAACCAGGAGACTGTAAGTTCTAGCCCCACCTTGGGCACAAAACTAGCTGTATGATCTTGGGCCAGTTACTTTCTCTCAGCTCTAAGAAGCAGGCAAGGACAAAGCATTTCTGAAACCTTGCCAAGAAAACTGCAGGCCCTTGTCAAGGCAGTCACCAGGAGTCAAAACTAACTCAAAAGAACCAAAAAACCCTCCTGCTTATGAGCATCTCAAAACAATGGATCTCATGCTCTGCCATATGTGATTGTAATACATATTTTAATCTTGCAACCTTGTCCTCATCAAATTTAATAAAGAGCACTCCTTCCATCTATTGCCTTTCAGTGGTCCTAAGGTCTTCTCCATTCCACTTCCAGTATACCTAATCCAAAAGGTAAATCTTAGAAAATATGCTTAGTCCTGCCAATCTCAATGTTTCCTCAGTTCAAGAGGACTTATAACCACAAGCAAGGTATAAAATCTCTCACAAAATATGACTCCTTCATCCTTCACCCAACTATTCCGTTCCCCGTGGATGCTGCAAATCTGGTGTTTCCTACACTTATACAACCAAGAACTTACATTTCAGTCTGGCTTAAATGTGCAGGAAGCTTTCTATTGTTTTCATGAGGAAAAAATCAAATGGTCATGTCCAAATTTCTAATTTTTATGGAGTACAATTCTTCAGTCAATAAAGCAAATAATACTACTTCAAAGTACAGTGAGATCTCTGGTCACGACCATGTTCCAGGACTTAGATTGGCATCCAATTTAGCCATGACTGGAAGGAAGACTGACTGCACGTGCGCGCACAAAGAAAAAGGTGCAGAAGGGAAAATCGCTATGGCAGGGAAAATCACTGTGGCTGTGTTTGATTGCCACCCAAGGATGTGTTTGTGAACAAAGTGAAACATTTAGCAGATTTTTTGGTTGGCACCCAATTTGGTTGTGGTCTGTGACCCGAGGTCCCACTGTATTGCAAAATAAGTACTCAAGAGCAGAGGCACATTCACCAGTCCTGAAAATCAAATTCCATGCTTTTTAAAAACAGCAAAAAATATAAAGCTACCTTCTTAGTCATGTGACCAGTCAAACTCATATCAATACACAGCCGAGGACCTGTTGCCTTGGCCTCTAGAAGACGATCTTTTGCAATGGCTTTTAGATCTCGCTTACTAAGTTGAGGAGCAGTGCCTGAAATAGAGAAAAGATAAAAAATAAACAATCATCCAGTGGCTCACTGCTGAACAACGTTAAGCATACAGGGGCGGCATAGGCCATGATTTTGCAGGCTAGCAATAATTTATTTGAAAGGCACTTCAGTGCCTATAAATCAAAATCTCTCCCAAAAAAAATATTGCATAGCCTGCCCTACACTTCCTTCCACGTGAACAATACAAAATATTAGCTGTAGTAGAGAAACCCAGAAAACCCGATCTATTATGGAACTTCTCACAGAAAATATAAGTAAAGTTCCTTGAAGCTTCAGAGTACAGAGAGCAAATTATTTTCTATAGAAAATGAAGACAGAAATTATACTGTGTTTCTTGTACCTTTTTGTTCAGCGTGCTTCGCTTTACGTCGTTCTCTTTCACATTTTCTTTTATCCTTCTTTGCAGAAACAATCTTCTCCCAGTGCCGTTGTTTCCTTAGCACATTCCTCTTAATATAAAGAAAAATAAACAGACACATATCAGGGAGGAAAAAAAGCCATTTGCAAAGATTTTCTTATCACAACTGGATTTAGGGGTGCATATATGTTTGGATTATTTGAGTATGTCCCATTGTTAAATTTCCCAAATTTTGCATATGTTCATCTAATACAAGGGTACACAGCAACTATTTATCCTTTCTTTTTCTATCTCTCACACACAGAAACTATTACAAATTTCAGCTATTTTACACAAATAGAAAGGAATATATTATTATGTGCTGTATTTTTCCCAGATAACTACTAAAAAGTAGAAGAAGAGTTATGACTTAATATTTCTTCTGCCTCTAAAAATGATGGGAGTACAGTATTATTTACATAGTGCTTTCAGTCAATAGGAGATGTTATATGTAAATGGCATTTTGGCACACAACTTGCCTTTCTAAATGTATAAAAGATCTTTGTGGAAATCCAGGAACTATCTTCTGTAGAAGTATTTTTGTAGCAACACTTTTATTAATATGGTTGACTGTCAAGCCAACCAGATGTTTCGATTGGATTTGGCATTTTTATCCATCAATTTAGTTCTTTCCAAGGACCTACTTATTATTATGATGATGGTGACACAGTCAGCCAGATGTTTAGACTAGATTTTTTTAAATCCATCTTTTGAGAGTTCCTTGCCTGAGGGTGTTGGATATCATCACAGGATGTAAATTGTTCCAAATAAAGCTGCCTTTTGCAATTGATCTACAGTGATTTAGTCAATGCTGATGGTGTTCAAGTAGTCCTCCAGTTATTATTATTATTAAAAGATCAATAGGCCACTGGTACACAGAAAGACTCAGCTGATGTCAATATGACAACTTTTTGGCACCAGCTTAAAAATTTTCCATTGGCCCAGACATTTTACAGCAAATCTGTTTTTATTTTTGTTTGTGTTTTGTATGAAACAGTTACTGTAATGTACTATGATAACTTCCCATTTTCTTTCTATTGATATCTTTTAGCTAAAGAGCAATAATGAGCTATTTCAAAATATGTAAGTTAAAGGGAAGAAAACAACATCTTTGTTGTTGCCTAAAAACTGGGAAGGAAGGAAGGTCACAATGTGTAAGTACTTATCTTATATATCTACAGGTATGCCTTTAAATAAAGCCATTGTTACAAGTTTTTAGGCCCTTCTTCAATGTAAAATATGATCCCTGTGAAACCCTGAGATTCACAACATGAAACTACATTAAAAAATTTCCATTGGCCCAAACATTTTACAGCAAATCTGTTTTGATTTTTGTTTGTGTTTTGTATGAAATAGTTACTGTAATGTACTATGATAACTTCCCAATTTGTTTTTGACATGAATGACTGAAGGCCACTTTACATACCGAACACCAATTCTCATTTCCTGTAACCTGTTCACTGGATCTTTCATCATTCTCATCAATTTCCAGAAGCTCAAATGCATCCCAGAGATCTTCCCCATCTCCATCTCCATAGTTTTGCTGTTGATCACAATGATCTCCAGAGATACTTTTCTCTACTTTCTTCTCAGGATTAGTCATTATTGGTTTTTTGTCCAAACTGCTGTGAAAAACATAGAAAAAATGACATTAAATACTGGACCATAGAATTTCCAGAACTGAAACTGCTCTCATCCTACAGGTAAAACAGGATAGTTTTATTCTGTACTGACTGCAGCTTCTGGCTACTTTCAAAAGAACTGTAAGTAAGCATGTTATAGTAATCCAACATTGAAACAAGAAGAGCATAACTTATTCTGTGTATTCATCCTTTATTCAGAAAATGGAAAAAAGGTGTGAACCAGTCTTAACAGGTGCTGATTAATAGCACAGAAAGGGAAGAATTACGCATTACCAATTCCAGATACATGAAAGGAGCCTCACTGGTATTCAAACGTTGTCCGTTGTGTAAGAATTTCAGAACCATGCAATTCCTCCTGCCATATAAGATCTTAAAGGCATCTTTTCTACTTAAAACTTCTTAAATAACATTGCACAAATACAATCAATGTGTGGTCCAGAAAAAAGATGAGCAAAAGGTGCTTTACAGGTAACTTTTATGAATACGCAACAGTCAAAATGCTTAAGTAGTTTAAGAATCATGAATTATTGTTCAGACGAAACGTCTACTACTCACCTCCCTTTAATAGCAATTTCTCAATCAACCTTTCTTTTACTCTTTTGATATAGTACGAAAAACTAGCTCCACGCTAGGCTATTTCCTTCCTCTATCTATACCGTATCATCCAATGAGACTTCCCTCTACCAGGAACCAGCTGCATTCTGGGAATTGTAGTTTTCGTCATGGGCGACGGGACAGGATTATCCGATTCAAGGTTGGGCGGATGGGAACGTGCGTTGCTTTGATTTAGAGACGACGGGGGAGGAGTTTAAATTTGATTCGCTGGCCATCCCTTCTGAAATGTCATCCTGAGTTACATTTCTTCATGGAAAGCAAAAATACACTTTTCAATTCTGAAGCCTATTCTCAAATATATTGTTTTTCGGGCCAGTCTTGATTTATTTTTATCTTTTTTTGTAGATTTTTAATTATAAGTCGTTTGGTAATTAGAAATCAGGCGGTCTATCTGTGATTTGATTGCCATTTCATGTATGCATCAACCATGCTTATGTTAAATACTCACATATCCCGCAAAGGGAGGAGCAGAAATATATTAACCACACATTCTGAGTGCACATAACTTCCTGAACTTTAAGCTCGGGTGAATAAAGATTCGCACAATTGCAGTGTTCACATATGCTAGATCTCTCCTTTAAGAAAACATATTGAAGCCTAATCTGACAAGCTGCCACCTGCACACTGGTAAACCATAGAACAGGATAGCCCGACTCTTTCCAGAAGTTTTGTGCTTCCTTACAGATCTAGATGGTGCCATTACCTTCAATTTGTAACTCCTCACGTTGCCTCTGTCTTTACCTCACACGAACCGTCTAAAACTGCCACTACCTATCAAAACACATGATGCACCCACAATAAATCTAGATTTTTTTTCCCCTTTAATAGATATTCTCTGGGAAAGAAAAAGAAATACACAGGCGCACGCACCTCGGAACTCACCTAAAACGATTTTGGAAAATAACTTAAAATGTGTTCTAGAGGAAAAAATGGGGAAGCAGCAGCGTGGCTATTAATCTGAAACCCGCTTTTTGAAACTCTGCTGTCACTCGCAAGAGAACAACCCCATTATTAAGCGAAACTTGAAAAGTGAGAAACTTGCTCCGATTTCTATCCATTGCATAACTCTCTCCCTGGTCTTTTCCTGCCATTGGTTACAAGCCTGCAACTTCCCCTTTTCTGGTGCAATGGATTTGCTCCTGGTGATTTTTTTTTCTCCCTTCTAAGGTTAGAAAAGGGGGCGGATTGATAGACGAGGTTTCTTCCGATCCGAGACTAGAAGCCTGAAAGTCCCAAACTTCTGCTGTTGCTCTTTCTTTGGGAAACGCCATAATGAAGCTGCTTCTCAACAGCCTCCTTCAGCTCTGGCCTCGAGGATCTGTTTCGGTGAGTGTTACCCTTCATTTAGCCACTTGTGCAGGACTTGATCATCTGCAGTTGCCTTTTCTTGTCAAGCGAGAATTTTTCCCCAAATATCCTGTTTGCTCCAGTTCTCTTGTGCTCTCTTCCCGATATGCGGTGCAATCTCTGGGGGAAATCTTTCGAGACGAAGGAAAACATTTCTTTTTACGACTTGGTGCTTCTACCAAGGCAGCATTTCTCAACCTTGTCCACTTTAAGATATGTGGACTTCAACTCCCAGAATTCCCTGGGGATTGGGGAACTCTGGGAGTTGAAGTCCACACATCTTAAAGCAGCTGAGGTTGAGAAACTCAATTCTAAAGGATCCAACGTTACTGTAAAGGGCAGCGGGTTCAAAATTGTGCCTGGGAGAAGACCTATTTTGAGTTGGAGAATTACCCAACTGTGATTCAGAAAAGGAGTCTATGATGGGAATGGCAAACAAATGGGAGCTGTGGGGATTAGCTCTTTCTTGGGCTGGGTGCTTTTGGCTGGGAATTTAAAATGGCCACAGGTAGACACCATTCTCTTCTAATATTGAGTTAAGACCCCAGACACTCAGAGTGGGGGCAAAGAGGCTGTAGGGGGCAAAGAGGCAGCAGGGAGTTTTCCCTGTTGGTTTCAGCTTGAGAAAGAGGTCGTGATGTCTTCTGGAAGAGAGGCCATTCAGAATAACGAGCAAAATTCAGAACATAATTGTGTTAAGAAACAGATTGTCCCTAGCAATTATTGAACCTGGGTGAACTGTCTATTGGGAAACCAAATTTTACAAGAGGTGACTGCATGTTGCAAGTACTGTAGGTGTGATTCTAGCTAACATCTTCCCTATAACATTTTTTCTTTGGAAAAGTGGAATTTGAGTGAAGGTCTCGAGGAAGTTATTAAAATTGCCAAAGCAGATAATTAAAAGTGCCTGCATACTGATAAAAATATATATGTGAAAAGTTTTTGAGGCAAAATGCAAAAAAATTAAATATAGTTTTTTTGTGTGAATTTAAATATACAATTAAATAAAGTATACAATTTAACACTTTGCAAAATTGCACAACTTAAATGAGTGATACCTTCTGAATATACAGTATCTGTTTGCAGATTCAGGGCTATGATCAGAGTGTATCCATATAATCTGAGGGTTGGATATTTTACATTACATTAGGATGGTGAAGAATGGGGAAAGTTACGGGGACAATTTTAGTTAAGAGAGATTGCATAACTGAGACTCCACCTATTTAACCTTTTAACAAGAAGGATTTGGACACTAATTTTGTGTGTGTGCCTGAATTATGTTCACTGCAGCTTTCATTCTGATCCATAGTCTACCATTTCTCTTTTCCATTTGACCTAAAAGGAATCTTCAATGTTTGTTAGCTTAATATCACAAATATCAGCTTCATTGCCGAAAAGCAGGTACAGCTCTTATGCAATAATTCACTACCAGATCACTACCTGCTGTGAAATTTTTTTGTTCCTGAGGAATTTTTTTCACTGTTTAAAAAAGCACTTTTTATTTTCTCTTTGCCTATGTATTTTTTTATCTTTGTGTGGGGGAGGGTCAGTTGTCACCATTTTAAAAGCAATAAATAATTTAAAAATGACTGGTCTGCCAAGTGCCCAAATTTGATGACATGATCACAGGAGCACTGGTGGTAACTTCAAGGACAAGTCATAACTACCATTTGTTCAGCACTGTTACAACTTAGAATGGTCATTAAGCGGGGAGTAACTGTAGTTGCAGTTCTCTAAATCTGTGCATTAATTCATTCATCTTTGCTTCGCTGCTACTTCTTGGAGGCAAGTAATTCTAATAATCAATCCAACAAACTCTTGACTCTCGTAAGTCCTGATATACAGTATCTAGATAACATTGCACAACCGACATTAAAACCTATTTAAAGTCTGTGAGAATGAAATCATTCTGGGGAAAAAGGACTTTACTGACAGGGTGGTGTTGCAGAAAATGACAGGCATTAGACTTCTCAAGATACAGGAAAAGTTTATTTGGCAGCCATGTTAAGAAAGCTAGCCCATG